TGCCGACGTACTAAAGTATCTCGTGAACGAGGCAGTCAAATTTGTACTCGGTCGAACAAAAATCACTGTAGGTATCGCTTTTAATTTTGCTTCTAATATGAGTTATCTTATTACCTTAGCTAACAAAAGTATTAGCACAATACTTAATCTTACAATTCCCAGCACCACGTTGAAAGGTAGCCATGCCTTTCATCAAAGCGAGACTGAAGTCAGTTACACTTAGGGAGAAGTATTCAAAGGTATAGCAATCCTTTGAAGCTTATGTGCAACCATCGTAGCACTTTAATGCAARTGCCAGGCTATCTTTCAAGATGGCGCTAGGAACTATAAAATGGAATACTCAGTTATTACACTAAACAATGGTGTGATCTTATTTTTATTGCAGTGCAAAAYACTTCCCTGTCATACATCTGATATGTTTGTAAGCTCGATGGTTACAATGTCAACTAACAATCCCTTTATCTGGGGTAACGGRACAATTAAAGTGAACTCTCCTGTCATCAGCTTAGAATACTTATCAAATAGTGGAAATCAAATATCTGTAAAAGGACTAGACGATGAATTTAAGCTTACAATACCAGTTAAGGCAAATCCGAAAGAAAATAAAGAATTCTTTATCACACCAGACACTGATTGCGTACAACACAGAATAACAGTGAATAAAAAAGACACAGCCTTTGACTTGATATTCAAGCTTTTTCAAGAKAAATACATGACTATCTACATTCGCTATGGAAAACGAGCGACGAAACAATACTATGACTACAAATATCTTCATCCTGACTTGTCATCATGTGAAAAACCTCCTGACCGTGACAATTGTACGGGCGTAGAGGATTTTATGAATTGTATGGGCTTGGAGTTCAATAGCACGGCCAAAAACTGCACAAATGTTACTTTTCCTGATGTCAGTTTCCTTTCAAACTCAAACAAGCCACGCAATCTATCTCTCTGTACCAGCTACCACAAAGTGGCTACCTGCCCTCCATGTCCTCCTATTCCCTACAATCCCATAAATGCAAGTGCTGATAATAACACGTTTCAAGAAAACATCAAAGGAAGACCGGATTGTGGTCCAAACGCCACGATGGCAGCTTGTCCTGAACTTCAGACATTTCTAGACTGTCAAAATCTTACTTTGGGGCGATACAAAGAATGCAAACCACTTCTAACAAAAAGAAAACTAATTTACAACAAATACTATAAATGTCACGATAATATCTGGAGACGGTTTTTCGGTACTGACATCTTTAACATCTCTGGGACGTATAACGTGGCACTGTGCTATGACTCTCAACAGTTATCGTCTCAGACAACATCTAAACTAACAACAACATCAAGCACGGAAACAATGAAAGCTACAAATAGCACACCAGTGACAACTAACACAACAAAAACATCTAAYAGTACAACATCTCTTAGAACCAAACCCGTTATCACTATAGCAGCAACAGCAACATCACCTACTCCGGTTAAGACAACACCAAATGCAGCAAACAATCGTCGTAAGAGATCATTGTCCAGTACAGAATTTGACTTTTTTGATGATGATGAAAATATGATTGAAAATGCAAAATATGATGAATATGAGAGTCATTTGTCGAAACTGCATCGTTCGCGAAGAGAAACAACAGGACGAAAATGTGCTGTAGTGGAGGAAAAGCCACCACCAACTATCCCTCCAAAGCCAACTGAATTCCCTCCTTTARGACCTCAAGTGTTCAATGCTTCTACATCAGTTAATTATACCTTTGAAAGTAATCTCTTTACATGTCCTTATTGGAATGCAACAAAAGAGATGTGGGACACCAATGGCTGCAGGGTATGTACAAATTGTTAACATCACAAGAATAGAATGTCTGGGGAGACAAAGTTTGTAATTAAAACCAATACAGGGATCCAATTACACTAAAATAGCTTGACACCCCAACATCAGGATTTTCGCTATTCGTGTGCTCTTCATTTATAACCCCTTCCCCGGTTCAATGTTGACTTACACAATGCGATTCAGTTGTTGTTTGAAACTCACTCCAGCGCTAAATAGGGAATGGGGATTTGAAGGTATACTGGGTACGAATASAGTGCCAAGGCTATTGGCGGCAATTTTAGACTCTACTTATACAAAAATCTAAGATAAGCCTTGAAAGATTGRTTAGTAAGTTGGCCAACCATAGGATCGTTGGGAAGTCGCTGGCAAAAAGGAATTTGGCAAAATGAATATATTTAACTCAGACTCTAGGCGGACAAATGAACAAAACAGGGGTAACAGGATGCAAATTGTTTGTTCGGAATCCATAAAATACTTTAGTAATTTTTCGCTCTTTGCGGATCAGAACTCAAAGTCAATGGTCATCTCATGACAATGCATAACACTGGAAATGGGCGTCGTTCAAAAATTAATTTTCAGTTTTACATTTGTATCCTCACGTACGCATTTTAATTTCATTTTGCCCTGATGATTGACAAGTTGTCCGAAAGCTCGGAAAATTAAAACCAACGTAGAAGAAACAAAACTGAGTATTTTTAAAAATAATGAATCCTACGTACGAAAACATTTTAACATTAATGTCTACTTTGTTTACTTTGTTTATCATATAAATATATTAAAATATATTGGATGTTAAAAAAGATATTTTACGACACAATTTGCTTTCATATATAATTATATGATAAACAGAATTTTACATGGTCGCTACGCTCACTCATGAAAGATCTTTTCAACTTTCGAAGATAAAATCCGTATCTCCGCGCGCCCATGTAATGTCCTTTATTTCATTTCAGCCGCATAGAAACTCTTCCAATACAGAGCTCGTGTGTTTGTGCAACCATCTGACGACATTTGGAGCTGACATGTTGGTGGCTCCTAATTCTATTGATMTTGACGCGGTAATTGCTGGATTTTCACAATTGGGCGAAACTGGAAATTTTTCTGTCCTTTTTATCATTATTGGTTTGCTTCTACTGTATGGTGTGGCCGTGATATTTGCTCGAAGGGCTGATAAAAAGAGCGAGGCTTTGGTAGGTACAGAGAAATTTTACTCATAAGCAGTGGCGCTGTAGTTTTTTTAACAAATCATTTTCATTTATAATATTTATWGCCCCAACCTATATAAGTAGTTTTTGAAATAAGATAAAGGGATTGTGCAGTGACAATTTCTTCTTGGTCGGTATATGAGACGCCGCGCTGCAATTTCCTTCTTCATTTGAGCTGATTTTGCTTTGCTAAAGGTACATCGCTTGTCTTACTGAAGTCCTGTCTTTCTATATTGTATTTGCATCTCAGTTTTAGAATCGCACCTTCGCTAGGTTTTGAGACAAGKSACAGATAGCGGCACTCCCTTATGCAACGAGTGGCTTGCTTTCCATGTGGGATGAATAATTATTCAAAATGTTCTCTGTTGCAGTAAATTGCGCATGCTTATTAGCGACTAAACTCAGCAGTTACCTTGTTCGTCACTTGTTTGTCATTTTTCGTTCATTTATCTCAATGTAATTCATGCTAATTAGTGTCGGAGTTTCATAAGTCGTTTACAACAACATCCGCGTCCTTAGAGCCATAGTAAATAACAAGATAACGGCTATGTCCTAGACAAAATATTAGTGCTAGACAAAATATAAGTGTGATAATTAACAATTAGACCTCGAGAGCGAGTGGACTACGAGCTGATAGAAGGCCGAATGGGCTATCAGCTCGTAGTCCACGAGGCCGAGAGATCYAATTGTTTTAGTATTACCATACTAGTTGGACAAGAAATGATTGAAATATATGAATAACTAAATTTTTTTATTGCTAAAAATGCGCAAAAATTTGTCGTTTTTCGCTAGTCGAGGACTATTGAAAATAGACCCCGGAGTAGCGTAGCCAATCAGAACGAAGGATTTGCAATARTCCACTAGTATGGTAATACTAAAACAATTAGATCTCTCGGCCTCATGGGCTATCAGCTCGTAGTCCCCTCGCTCTCGAGGTCTAATTGTTAAATATACGATAATGAGTAGTATGGCTATTTGAAAATAAGGACGTAGCAACATAGTTCTAGGTCTTTCAAGCACAAAGGACAAAGCAATTCATACAATTTTGAGTTGCCCTCCAAATGGTTACTTTTTTCCAGCAAAAACTGGACTACCTGTTAAGTAAATTTGTAAAGGAATTTAATCTTTCTTTCAGGTTTCTAAAACAAGAATCGGTGAAATTACCGAAGTTGGTCATAACTATGAAGTAACCGTTTCCACTGGGGCTTTCCGTGGCTCAGGAACAACAGCTAATGCCGCTATGGTAATGAGTGGGGAAAAAGGGTGTTCACAAGTTATTCCTCTTGTAGACGAAAACGGAACATCTAAAGAAATTCTTTCACGTGGCAACGTGGTAAATATAATATTTAATACTGTAGAAGACATCGGGGACATTAATTTCATTCGAATCTGGCACAATAATAAAGGAAGCAACCCATCTTGGTTTTTGAGGCAAGTGACCATTTGTGATATTGCCAGTAACAAAAAATGGYTCTTTCTTTGCAATGGTTGGTTGGCTGTTGACAAAGAAGATGGTAGAATTGATCGACGATTATATCCCACTTCTGAACGTGACCAAACTGAGTTCAAAAGTTTATTTTACTCGCATACTGCTAAAAGTTTTAGTGACAATCATTTATGGATTTCTGTTGTTCTTCGTCCTCCCACCAGTACATTTAATAGAGTACAAAGGGTTACGTGTTGTTTGTCTTTGCTTTTTTCTGCAATGCTGGCGAATGCAATGTTTTACCAGAATGGTGCTGGTGATTCTGATTCGATTCAAATTGGACCAATAAAGATCAATTTTAAGCAAATCATCATCGGGATTGAAAGTGGGCTCATTATAGCTCCAGTCAACCTTCTTATTATGACTCTATTTCGGAAGGCASGACCTGAAAGCGAGAGCAAGAATGGTCAAAATAACGAAAGCTATAAAAGTTGTAAAACAAAGGAGGAATCAAAAGTGTGCGAGACGCTAAACGGTGAAAAAGCACAAAAAACAAGGAATGAAGAAAAGAAACTTAATCAACGGTCGAGAAATTCAAGATTGAATGAAGCAGATCATGAAAAAAATACATACGCAGGAACTACAGATACTAAAGATATAAGGGCGTCATCTTCAGATCTAGTTAGGAAGGAAAACGAAAGGAAAGGGGGCCTCCCACGCTGGTGTATTTATKTTGCCTATATTTTATGTGTACTAACTACTCTTGCATCAGCGACTGTTGTCTTATTCTATTCCATGATGTGGGGCACTGAGAAATCAAATGAATGGATGATTTCAGTTGCACTGTCTTTATTCCAGGACATTCTTATCATTCAACCATTGAAAGTATTTGCAGTCGTAATGATATTCTCACTTGTCTTCCGAAAACCACCCGAAGAAGATAAATTGACTACATATGAAAGCAAACCCTGTGAGAACTCGAAAGGAATTCCAAGTGATATGTCTATTAAAGAATTGGGAAATGACATAGACTTTGCGCCTCTTGGTAATGAAGATATTGAAGAGGCTCAGTCACTCCAGCTCAAAAAGARCGCCGCCCATTTGACAATCAAAGAAATCGTGCTTCACTTGGGTTTCTTCCTATTGTTGTCAACAATTATGTTCGGTTCACAGAGCTCTCATCGCTATGAGATTCACAAACATATGGGCCAAGTTTTCAAAAATAGTGAAAAGGTAGGAGGTACATTTCTACTACTCTCAATAGTTATAATATGATTTATCTGCTTTGCATTATGTAGTACATTATCAATGATAATACYATACATGAAAAAATTACTCGACTCTGATTGTTGGATGACGAACTGTTCACTTTTCAGTGCAAAATCAAGGTAATACAGATGCGAGCATTACTCGACAGTAATTGACTGAAAACAATGAAAAAAATCAAAAATCGCCATTTGATGGGAAAAACTTGCGTATATAATGAAGAAATGTTTAATTTGTGCTCACTGAAAATGTCCGTCATTACAAGGTTTCAAAGTTTCAAAACTTGGAGTCCTAAAACATCTCAAGAAACCAATCTTGCTATATAAAATATACTGAACAAAAGCTGAGGAAGAGAGACAACGATGAATCAAGGAGTCGATAGAGTAAACTACATGAGGTGCAGAAATGAAAACCCTAAAAGTCCAGATTTCAGTTTTTGTGYACGACTGAATCCTTTTCWAAAAATGTGATCAGATTCTCCTCATAAAGTATCTCTAACACCGAAGCTTTTTTGCTCTTTTTCCAACAAGCGAGTTGTCATTAAATCAAAAAAAGAGGACAAGCAAACTGAAATTTTTGTCGAAATCTTGAGTGCAATTACTTTGGAAGGGTTTAGTCGGACTAGCTTTCTTTTTCTTACTTTATTGTTTAATTTATGTCGCTTTTACATCGTCATTTGAACAAATTATAATCAAAAGCTCATTTTTGAATGAGCAAGAAATTGGAAAAATTTGGAAAAATTTCGGTAGTCATGAGTTTTTCAAAAAAAAAAATTGATACTTCTTGGAAATTTTACTAGTGCAAATTACCTATAATACACTGATGATATACTTATCTACTATTGAGTTGTTTGCGACTGAAATTTTGTTACCAACTGAACATTGCGAGTTTGTTACATTTGCACGCTCTTGCTTGCGTTTACTCGGACCATTACACAGAGAAACACACTTAAGGAAACACAAGGACAATCAGTCCTTAGATTAATGTTTGAATCTAAAAAAAAATTGATTTAATGAATAACTAAATGACCAGGAACATCAAGAGTTGCGATKCCAGTGATTACTTGAAAATCTCTAAGAAACTGCGAACTAACAACAACAACAACCAAAGAAAAAGACAATTTACAATCAAGTCAATTAAATTAATACAAAGAATATATTGCTACTCGCAATTAGTTTTAAATATTCTTTACGGATATAATGAGGCCTATTATAGTGTGTTTTCCGTCCATCTATTTGGCGATGATACAAGTGTCCTTTATGAAATCCAAAACCTCGACCAATTGCAACTAGTACTAATGTACTAATTTAATCCGTAACAGTAACTTCTTTAAACTGTTTGATTTCAATCATATTTTACAGCATCTATCGGCCAATAGAAGGTGCTCCAGTCTCAATTATTTGCTWTTTTWATTTCATAAGGTCATCGATGCCTATAAGTTCTGGACTTGGTGTGAGAACAAGCTTCTTCCTGGTCTTTATAAAACCCWTTGGTATAACGGCAAAAATTTCACTGATGAAAGAGAAGGCTTTATTTCAGATAAACATTCTGTCTTGATAAGTATGCCACGCCTTCGCCAAGGCCGAGTTAAGTCAGGTAACCCTCATTGTGTYAAGGCCCGTACARTCAGTCAAAATTAAGCACATCATAGTTTTCAAATTARATTTCTTCGATTACATTAATTGACCAGMATTTTCCCATCTCAGAACCGTAAATGGTCTCAAATTCCGTTGCATGCTTTCATATTATCTCTTTTGACACCGTGTAGCGCAAAGGTTAATGATATTCTGTCTTTCTATTTTTTTGTATTTTTAAAGTTTTAATGTTAATCTTTATATGAAGGATGCCATTAAGTAAAAGTCCTTTTTTGTTGACTTGTTAGAATTAATGTTTAGTAAAGTTGATTTGTATTATTATTATTTGTATTCCGTGACACAGAGGAGTGTATCTACACCAAAGAGTACAAAAAGCTACAAGAGATGTTTCCCACGTGCTATCCACATTACTCCATGWCYAAAGCAGATGAAAGTCCACCWTCAACTTTGAATAATCCACAAGTCAACGTGGAACTGAACGACAGCGTGCTGAGCGGTGAAATTGGATTTGAACGAATGTGTCTTCAGCCCTTTATTGTTCAATCAGCCAGTAAKCTYGGCACACTGCCAGTTGTAACAAGCGATGCAACCTATTCTGGYAGTGGAATGGTAGCCGATTTGGGCTATGACTATGCAACTGCAAGGGAAGTACTGATTAAYTTGAAAGAAGACCGTTGGATTTCCAGRCAGACAAGAGTAGTATTCGTAGAATTCGTTGTATTTGAACCAGCATCACTGCTTTATGCTTTTGCTCGATTTTCATTCGAACAGATGCCAACGGGAGCAATGGTACCTTCTTATCGGATCGAGCCATTTGCTCTTTATGGMGTCGGACAGAGTTCTTTCAAGACATTACTWTTGATAATAGAGATAGTGTTGGTGATTTCTATTATCGCACTTTTGTTTAGACTGATCTTAAAACTGGCAAAAGAGAARAAGATGTTTTTCAAAGAAATATGGAACATCCAYCAGCTGGTCATGCTTATTCTCTCCTTGGTACTAATCATATTAATTTTTGCACGAGAAACGTATGTTAGGAGCCTAATCAAATCCATACAGGAGAATCCTTATTCAAGAATGAGTTTTGACTATGTTCAGTCTGGTACTGATGTAGTAAACTCCATTGCTGCTGTCGTAATCTTCCTCGCTACCAYCAAACTTCTACAGTTATTCAATTTTAACATGAAGATTCAAACGTTTATCCATGTCATTAAGAGATGTAAGTCATCCCTCCTTTCATACGGATTGATTTTTTGTATCATTTTCCTGGCATTYGCRCAAACCGGAAATTTCATCTTTGGCGAAAGTTTAATGATGTATTCCACCATCGTTCGATCATTTGTTAATGTCTTCCAAATGCCTTTGGGAAAAGGCTTATTTTTCCACGACTTAAAGGACATCGATGGGGTAATGGGGCCTATTTTCATATTTTGCTAYTTCATGACCACTACACTGCTCCTTGTTAACTTTTTTGTTGCAATCCTCAATGATGGGTACGTTGAAGGRTGTGAAATAATGACGAGTGAAACAGATGAAGACGCAATCATGGCTGAGTTCATGTCAAAGTACATCAAATCGTCCTTGCGAGATATTTCAAGGGATCTCAGAGTCATACCGACGTCTAAAGAAGAAAGATACAAACCAGAAGATCCGGAAACTGTGAGAAAAAAAGAAGTTGACTATTTCCTCTACTAATATGCTAGCTAGTAGCACTTGTAAAAAAACAGAGCACTTAACAAAAAATATATTTGTGTTTGGACGAAGCCTAAACTTTGTGCTGGTTTACAGTAAAACAAGACTTCAGGAAAATTTATCTATTTTTCAATTACTTACTCCGTCAAAAATCTTGATCCTTGGGCATAAACGTAGGCTTAGTCTAAAACCTGAAAATACATGTGTAGCTAGAAATCCACGTTTAATTTAAGGACGAGCGACATTTGCAAAAACCTCAACCGTCGTGACTGTTTCATAGTGGCTGGAAACCCATACAAATAAACAAGGATAGGGAGGGTTGACACGTTAGCTAGTGCACACATCCATACATCATGTACCAGTGTTTTATAACTTGTCACATACAAGTTTCTTTTAGTTTCTTCCACAGATAGTCCTCATTTGACTAAGAGCGAACTTTTCGCACTCTGAAGAAAATCTCAATAAAAATGTTTCTTTTTCGTACTGTAACATCAAATTTCCGTGGGCAAATGTCACAGAAGAATACCATACATTTTTAAAAGCACTATATTGCTTTTAAACGTTAAAGTGCAACTGAACTCAATAAGAATAATCTATCCTATCAAAATAGTAACTTGCCCSAAAACGATTTTGAATTGGACAGGCTGCCTTACAAATGGGGGGTTCGTTTTTTCAGAAGTGTTGTCTATAGAACGAGAGTGCGTGTTTTATCGGGATATATGGATTCGAGCCGTACGAAAATATAATGAACAACTTCACTAAATAACAATTATATACCGCATGCGCATTGATTGGTTGAAATGTGCTAAAAATAGACGAATACTTCTTGCAAGTAGCTTTTTAAAAATTGACTGACTCGRTATTTTTATGTTAATCCCTAATAAATTGACTATTATTGCAAACCATCACAATAGATGTTTAGATTAATTATTTGGGCTAATAAAAATTCGGAGTCAAAATTTGTTGCTATTTTTTACAAAAACGTGGTTGAGGACTGGGGAGAGCTTTGGCGTCAAGTTGTTGACAACACTTGTGTGTCCTGATCAACAATCATGTTACTCACATTTACTAGGTACGGTTTCTTGTATTCATCACTCTGGTTTAAACATTTTCAGACATTTTCAGCAAACCTTTTAGAGATTGTCAACAACAGGACGAAAAGATAATACCGTGGCCCAGAGGTGCAATACAAAAACAAATTCAAACTGAAAAATACATAAACTAAAATATACAAACACAAACTCAAAAACACAAATATAAATTCAAAAACAAAAACACAAATTCAGAAACACTTATACAATAATTCGAAAACAAATACAAATTCATAAAGGTCCATGACCCTAACAAAGGTCCCAGGTTTGATTTTAATTTTTTTTTTATTTTTTTATGTTCTAAAAATTTAATTACAGTTCTAAACACTACGGACACGAACTATTTCTTTCTAAAAGCCAACCTCCTCCATGAAACAAATGTATAGAAATAATTAAATAACTAAGCTAATTCTAAAGACCGACCTCCTCCACTTACAATTCAGAACACTACGGATACAACTAGTCTTTCTAATAACCAACCTCCTCCAAAAACAATGTGCAAAAAAGTAGAGAAATAAATGATTAAACTAATTAAACATGAATAAGACAGACAACTAATTCTAAAGCCGACCTCCTCCACATATTACAAGGGGAAAATTACTTAATGAAAACATCGAAAGTGAAAGAGACGATATAGAAATGAAAGAAAGTTATAGTGCTTAGAAGGAGGCAATYCYGGGAGAAGTCCCTTAGGAATAAATTCGGAAAAATTAATTTCCGACCTCGCTGGGATTCGAACCCACGACCTTCGGATTTGTACACCGATGCTCTACCAGCTGAGCTACAAGGCCAGACTGGGAGCAGGTCGGGGTGAAATAGATGTTAAGCTTGCGGTAATAGAATAATGTAAAGATATGAATATGAAGACCGCATGGCACTATGATAAACACGATATAGAAATGAAAGAAACTTAGAACTTAGAAGAAAGGCAATTCCGGGAGAAGTCCCTTAGGAATAAATTCGGAAAAATTAATTTCCGACCTCGCTGGGATTTTACTGCCGACCTCCACCTGATAAATATTTTCCAAAAAGAAAAACAGAAAACKTTTATGTAYAAAAACCTAACTGGGTGCAGCCACTGGACAAAATACATTAACAGAATCATAAATACTCAAAATAATCATTATCTAAGGGCAAGTTTAAGTTGATAATGAGTTATCTTTATTGTTTAAATACTCAATGATCTTTATTGTCTGATTCGGATATTGAATGACTTTTAAAGAAAGACTTCTAAAGGCCGTGTCACACTGGCGTTTTTTTCGTGCAACTTGTGTCGCGCAAAAAAATGTTGTAAGTTGCACGAGCGTTTTTTTACGTGTGACACCCCCTCGTGCAACTTGAACATTTCATTTTTTTTGTTAAAAGAAAAGTAGAACTGGCTTCTACTTTTTTCAATATTTTTCGGAAAAACGCGTGTGTGACATGGTCTTTTCCAACTTCCAAAATTTTCAATTAGGCGCACGAAGCCATAAGAAAGCGAGAATCTGTCCTGTTGTCACTTGTAATAATCAACAAAGATGCCCGGCGCCATCTTTGGCGAAAGCGATAATTTTGAAGAAGAAAACGAGACAGAGTGAGGTGAAGTGAGGTGATCGTACATTTTCAATTTACGCGTGCAACTTGAACATTTTCTTGCGGGAGCTCAGTTGCAACGAAATTTTCTAGTGTGACATGACATCGTGCAACTTACAACATTTTTTTGCGCGACGCAAGTTGCACGAAAAAAACGCTAGTGTGACACGGCCTTAACTATGACTGATCACACATTACATTACACCACGTTTCACGGAAGCAAACTTCAGACATACGATAACGGTCAACAGTTTGACGAGCACGAATATCAAACTTGCACTTACGAACCAACTTAGCGTACGAACAGACAGAATTATCAAAAGTAGCACGGTTACAAAACATCCAAATCACACTCAACATGGTCTCAATGACAAACAACATCATGACACGGTCCTCTCTTCTCCCATGATTAAACAGACGCAAGATCACGTTATTACAATTAATCCTGATGTCGCGCTGGACGACCCCGTGCAACACATACATAACCCAACCCCAGGCTCTCGTCACGCGCTTACACTCCAAAAAACAATGCTCAATCGACTCAACCTTTCCACACACAGCACACCTATCACTCACTACATTGTGTCCCCATTTCTTTAAGTTCATTCTAACTTTCGTCACTCCATGTATCGCTCTCCACCTCACCTCGTTCACCTCTCCACAAGTGTTAATTCTACACAATTGACTACTTGTAATTTTATCGTTCTAACTCGTCTTTATTTATCTAATTTATCTTCATGCATATGCTAGTATTGAACCTACTTCAAGATAATAATAAAGAAAACTGATGTAAACTGATGAGTTCATTATATGTACGAGTGGCGAAATTAATAGCACCACCAACAAGCATACGATGACCACACTCCTTTCCACACTCTACTCCACCCCGCACGACTAACACTACTCCTCCAATATATCTCACATCTCGGAGGCACAAACAAAGACTTCTCCAACAATGCATACACACTTTTAACAGTACAATCAGACTTCACCTTCACAGTACGTAACGTAGATACCACATTAGAATAGTACAAAGGCAGCACATCAGCATTAGGCACCAAATTAGTACGAATATCTCCCAACCCTTCACAAACACACAAACCCTATTCCCCAGAAAGTACCGAGCAAAAGCAGACGCCTTACAATTACTACGACGCAACAAAGACACAACWTTAGCTACATGCAACGCCCTAACCCTTGTTCCCCAGTCCACCATCCCACACCCACCCCTAGCTAACGGTAATAAGTAGGTCCCCCTTTTAATGAGTTCTACCCTCCCACCCCAGAGGAATCCCCACACCAACTTATTAACATCCCTAACAATATCCGACGGCACATCTAACACCCTCCCAACATACTCCAACTTCGACAAACCCAACACCTTTACAATCAAAACCTTCCCCTTCAACGACATCCTCCTACCCTTCCATCTATCCAACACCTTCTTCAACTTCTCAACCTCTGTAGCCGAGTATAATATTGTGTTCATTAATCACTTTTTTCTGGATTGCACAAGTTGTGTCGCTAAGTTGTTCATAGCCGGCAAAAAATACAATAGATTAACACTGCAGACCTCAACCAGACGGCACTTGACATTTTTATAAAGCTTCCACTATGGTCACTCAAAMTTTATACCTTGTTRCATTTTGGACGGTAGACAATACATCCATGTCAAAAGCTGATGGGCGAAAGGGATAATTTGCGCGTTTTCATTTGTCTACTTGCAGGATAAAACTCACTATAAATAAAAAATGCCGGGATTCGAACTTATCGCAAAGCGATAAACCAACATATCTACTTTATCAACGGATCAGAGTCATCAGATCAGACCATCATTTTCGGAGCGATTTTTGTTTCGTCAGGCGTGATTGTTTTCGTTCGGCCGACAGGTACTGTTTCATTGAATTCATGAACTCCCAAAGAACTTAGTCGAACTTTCGACTGCAAAGCGAATTTAAYGACTTTTATCATTTAGTAATTTAGTGCTATTTGTCTAGCTCTTTTACTTRACTCTTTTACTAGACTATTTTCATACCTTTCTAGGCATTTAAGCTTTAAAACAATGGTGGGAAGCCACAATTAGGTAAATTAAAAGCTAAGACTATATTTCATTTGTTGATGATTTACTACATTATGCAATTTCACATCTAGTTTTTTCAATTCTTCATTTAGTTGAAGCGTCTCTTTGTCAAACGTTGGGAATCTAGCTCTGATGTGTTTTTTTTAATTCTTGCCTCGATATCTATAGGCACTTTTCAGAACGCACGACTTGCTTAAGAAACTTTTGCTTTGCACGTTGCACGATTTCTTCTCTTTTGAATGTGTTTATTTTAGGTCATTTTCCAATAACCCCATCAAATATCTAATCGTCCGTCCCTTATTATCTTAATCACTACGGATAGTTTACATTCTTTGAGATTACAATATTTGGTCGATTTGATAATTGATACCAATCATTTACACKCAACTCATTATCTAAGAGGAGTCAGGTGTCATTGTGTGTTCTTAAAAAGTGATCGTTTACTTGCTAGTGCAAATAATAGTTCATTTACAGCCATTTTTAAAAGTTTACATTGTACATTACTATTAACTTAGTAAAGCTGTGTATTTACATACTCATTACACAAGAATTAACCACTTTTAATGTTGTGACGTTAGCCATCTGGAATTGAGAAGGTCTGCCAAAAATCCGAGTCGTGATCAAGGGTCAGATCCAGTAATAAAGTCGACATGGAACAAGAAGGTGGGTTTGCTGTGAATTCTAACAAAGATGCTGAAGTTCAGAGTCGAACGTTCAACAGAAAGAGAGTTATTTTGGTGGTGTCTGTTGTATTTCTTCTTGTCGCTGTAATTGTTATCATTGTAGTCCTTAAAGTACGACCAAGCAGCAGYAATTCTCCATCTGAGCCTAAAATACAAGGAAGCTCATCAAAAAATGATTTGATACGTAAGTTTTTGGTTAGAGTACAAGAGACATATTTCATTTGTAATCCAGAAGCAATAGTCACCAAGCAAGCAGTCAAGGCCGACGAGATACTTGAACGATATCGTCCTTTTGATTATAATCCGTCGTCACTTAAGAAAGCTGCTGATAAGGCTTTGGAATTGCGTGCAGAATTTGAAAGAAAATTCACTAAAGAAGTAGAATCAACACTTAAACCAAATGAGCTGAGAGTCTTTTACGAGATGAAACAGTTCCTACGACACTTTGGAGCCGCGGGTCCTTACGACAGTTCCTACTACACTGGCCTTTGGATGTTAGGACCAAATTCCATGGTGTGGGAGCCTATACGAACAATGTGGCCTTGGTTTGAGCAAATCTTTACACATAAACAGTCCAGGCCTAAGACCTTGTCTGAGTTTCATCATATACTAGAGGTCATGGCCATGGTGAAAGAGAGCGTTAACAATTATACKAATAATATGATGATGGGTGTAAAAAGAGGCATGGTACGAAACATTGAGGCTTGTACAGCAGGGTTAAAGAGCTTTAAACACTACTATCGCGGATTTGCACTAAATGGAGAGAAAGGTAGAATCATGTGAAAACATACTATCGAGCTGATGCTGGGAGAAAAGCTGATTGCGTCTCCCACATAAGTTTTTTTTTTGTTTCTGCATTTACATAGTAAAGATAACATTTAAAATATCAAAAATGCAACTATTAAACATGCGAAAATAGGAATAACTACAGAGATCCCAAGGTTATCAATGTATATGTATATTGTATGTATAGGTAATATATTGTGTCATTGGCAAGGTTCTCACAGAAAAAAGAGTGCAAAATAACATTCGTAAACCAATCGTTGCTTTTCAGTTCTATTCAACAGTTAACGAACATTAATTACACTGAACCGAGAAAATTAATTTTTGCTGTCCCGTTTTCTACTTTTCTACCTTTTCTAGCACAGTAGCTAGTGATTTAATACGGTTAATTTGTCTTAAGAAGGTCGAGGGTTAGTTGAAGTCCAACCGGGGTATGGCTATCAATAGACAGTCTAATTTAATAGGTATTATTTTAAGTAATACCAGGGCTATATCTTTATATATATATCGGTTTTACCAACGAATACCAATGAAAACCGATTAAATGATATAATAATAGGTCCAAAACGTCTATTTAATTAATGATGCATAAACAAGCATTTTATAACCTCACAGCTGGTTGTGGGATTACGGTTGCTGATTAAATAATGAAATGGAAACCGCTCTAGAAAACATAATTCATTATCTGAATAGAAATCGGTAGTGACTTATCTGAGACTTTTTCTTCAATACTAACCAATGCTTAGAAGTAACCGCAAAAACGTTATTATAAGCCAATAAAATAACCACCAAGAAAATGACGTTAATGCGTTTTGGTTTTTCTTTTAGATGTTCTTGGGAGCAAACTCCTACAGCAAAATTTTCTTGAGAACATAAATGATTCAATRAAAACAGATTGGAAGAGAAAGACAGGAAAGAATATGACGTCTTCGCTTCAGGAAGCACTTATTACATACATCGGAAGGCCATTCAGTCRGTTAATAAGGTAAGTWAGAATCATYGGCATACAACACTTGGCAGTTTTCCCATACTCGTTCCGCGGGAGGAGGGCAAAACGTTTTTCCCCACACAATCTGGAAGACACATTTAAAGCTGGGCCAGTCAGTACTTACCGATCGGAACGGGTCTCATGATAGGTTGAGAAAACAATGAACGAACAATAAATAGATCATATAAGCAAATCTACATTAAGCATACAAATCGTGAAATTGTGAAATTTTGAACGATTTTGGTTCATTAGTAGGCCTTAACTAGTGCTCACGAATTATCAAAATGCTGCTCTCTTGACGCCCATTAGGGTCAAACCCTCTGAAGTATCTAGATTTCTTCATCAAAAGTTTGATCAAATTTCTTAAATGAAGGAACCCATCAACTGCAAACGTTTTTCATCTCAACAAAGCGTTTCTAACGTGAACGGGTACATTACACTCCTCCGCGATGKCAGTGCCCTATACAAAGGTCGCCAATTCACTAACTTTGCAAATAAAGACTACGTTTAACCTTTTGTAAATGTTTAAATTATAATTATCTCAATAGTAACAATAATAACTTGTTAACTAAGACCCATATGTGAATAAAATTGAATTGAATTGAAATAATTCTGATTTGACTTTAAACTTTACTGTCATTTTTCCTGAAAAATAATCCTGTTTCAAAAGTATAAGAAAATTGCGACTTATAGAATGCAGCACAGTTTTAACTATTCCTAACAAAGTTTCTCGCCAAAATCTGACKAGGCATTGTTGTATGTGCAATTTGAACTCATTTTCGAATGCACTCTGGCATTGCTTCGAGATCGCGCCACAAAGCAATGTARGTGTGAACGAACCCTTATTTGACCCAAGTGTTTAACTTTTTTTTACGTAAAGATATATGGAAAGTCAGCATATTCKGCATTGCGTTCCAAGCAATGTTTCAAGTGGTCTTGCAACTTTACCTTTAACACACRTATATGTAGATGGTTTGCCAGACCTCTCACGGCCAACCGAGCCCTATCTACCCACTGGAGAACGGCTTAATGGCACCCAAGCATTCAAAAAAGTACTTACATACTTTACAACGACTGACATTACTCCAGCACAAATCCAAGCAATGGGACATCAAAGGCTTAAAGCCTTGCAAGAGCAGGTAAATCCTTTAATACAAGAGGATAAYTAGAAAAAACGTATCAGAGAGAGAAGCAAGATGTGAAAACTTTTATATTGATGTTGTGGTGTTTTGCTATAGAAATGTTTATCTATGTTTTAAGTTTATCCACTGATCCACCCATTGCATTTTCTGCAATGCTAGTAATTCAATCTGTTACTACTATACTTCAATGGTGACAGTTTACTACAATTAGACCCTAAAAATTCCGTACTGATTATATACATATATTCATTGTATTTAAAAGGTTGTAGATTTGGCAAAGGAGGTGACTGGCGAGTCTAACCAGACTGCAGCTGTGAAGTTATTTAGGAAAAATATATTATCGAACAGGTCATTGTTTTACAATAAGGATTCATTTCCAATGAATGAATCTCAGGATGATACATTTCTTTATTGCCATGATGTTRAAAGTGCTGAAATGTTTTGTCCGAAACGATCTCAAGCATACAATATTTGGAAAAACTCAACACAAAAGGTAGGATATTTTGCATTCATTATTTTGTCGGATTCAGGATTTTTCATAGCGGTCAATATGACAATYTCGTACCCAGAGCCCGCACTTTTGCCATCCGGCGGAAGTCAATGCATGAGAGAATCTGGGGGAATGCTATATTTCTCGATTCGTGATTGGTTGAATGATGCGAGCGGTTATTGTTTTTATTTTCAAGTCTCCAGCATGCGCTCATCCCGCGTCATTTGTCAAGAAATTTTTATCGCATAAACACAAATGTTTTCACACAYTTTTGTTTTTAAAAAAGTTGTAAATACCGTACCTAAACTAAATTGTGTGCGAAACCTTCTTTTTTTGTCATTTAATGCMCYGAAGCAGAAAACAATAATAATTTGCGATGGAAAAGAGTCGCAAATCCCGTCGATTTCTCCARAGTCTTTCCGGCGTCATACTGCATACCGCTGACATTAGCCGTGAAGAGTCTTGGCTTGAGATATAACGTCAATATAACCGTTGCAAAGGAAGCCCGAGAGAGGAGAAAATAGTTGCCTTGGGAGTAGACTAGTCTCAAATCTAATTTTAAATTATTCTTCAGGTTCAACGGATACTTCACCAGAAGATCAATCCTCTGTTTTATTCTGCTGGAAAAAGAAAAACCACCTTATCGTGTTTAGCAGATGTGATTCCTACCTTTAATCCAACTAGTAGTTTCCATAGTTACAGCCCGTTTAAATGCGGTATCCATACACTTCCTTTCTTTATTGATGATTATGGGCCAAAGTACTCCGAATGGACCGTAACAGCACATGAAACTCAACCCGGACATAATCTAGAGGTAAAATACATAACACAATATATATTACATAAAATAGTATTYAGATAATTTTAGTCTCAAGATTCGTTGTTTACTTGCTATAAGCTGGTTACACTTGTCAGGCAAGTTAAAATGACCGTTAGAGTTTGCTGGTAGTTAAAAACGTTGTTTTACACATGTACATGGTAAATTTGTTTCTTTGTTGACATGGCCGGGCTGGTTAATTCAATATGTTTATTCAAGGAACATAAGTGTTTCTTTTTCTATAATTTAAATAATACAAAGTATATATATATTATCCCCTTTTTTCACTAAAAAGAACAAGGGCCTTGATTGGTCAGGTCATTCTGAGATCAAATCATGAACAGTCAACGGAAAAAAATAGCAATAGCATGCAAGTTGCTAATGTTACCATCAAGCCGTCACTTTAGCAGTCGTTCATTCTAGCCTCAATGTCTCCAAACAGCACGGGACTACAAAATCAGTATTAAAAAAATAGCCTCTACGAACACACAGACAATTAACACTAGAAAAAAGTTATATGAGGATTGTATCAGCATTGGTTATAATTATTTCCGAGGRTTACAGCTCATTCTACGGCACTCGTTTTTAAGGTTCAAGGTTATGCTCACAACTTCGAAAACAAAGAAAAGGATGGGATCATGAAATGGCTTTCTTCGATGACTTATTTCCCATCTTTCAGCGAAGGATGGGCGACTTATGCCGAGTATCCTCTTGTTGGAAAAGACCTTGACCTATACAAACATGACCCACTGGCGAAATATGGAATGCTGCAACAACAGGTATTCACATGCAATCTCCTTGATAACCGTTCACGCAGTCACGGTTTAAATTGTACTTAACGAAGGAAAAATCCGAATACTACRCAGACTATAAGCAATCCTCCGATCTTCTGAATAAATTCAACGGATAGCCCAGCCTTTGCATCAAAACGAGGAATTGAGCCTGCAGTGATAAATACCTTTAGATTCACAGGTAGAGCAAACGCAGGAAATCCATGAAATCAAATCAAAATACTAACAAATAGCGGCTATTTAGAGACAAATTGTCAGTATCAATGAGCCAGAATGCAATAAAGATGAGTGAAAAATGGTCCCATGTGGATTCATCTTGATTGTGTTCTGGTTCATTGATACGGACAAATTGTCTCTAAATATATGAATATGAAGACCGCATGGCACTATGATAAACGAGGTCGGAAATTAATTTTTCCGAATTTATTCCTAAGGGACTTCTCCCGGAATTGCCTCCTTCTAAGCACTATAACTTTCTTTCATTTCTATATTGTCTCTAAATAGCCGCTTTTAGTGATTAGTATTTAGTTAGATTTTATTTCATGGTTTCCCTACGTTTGCTTTATCTATTATTGCAAGGTAGAGAAATCCACAATACAGCAAATTAAAGCATAATATTGATATATTAAATAAGACCTTATGCACCACTGGGTGCGAAGAAGCGCCGTAACGATAATTGATATATTAAAATTGCAGATATTAAACATCATCTTGATTTTTTCAGATAATGGGTGCATTGAGATTAATCATAGAAACAGGTCTGCACTATTTTGGGATGAGTAGGTCAAGGGCGTTACAACTGTTTAAAGAAAATGCATGGGAAACAGGCGACATTGCGACTAAGGAAATAACACGCTATCAGAGTGTCCAAGGACATGCCGTGAGCTACATGGTTGGACAGACAGCATTCCTGCATGGAAGAACTTTTGCTGAAAACAAACTTGGATCCCAGTTTTCTCTGAAAGAGTTTCATTACCAGGTACTTCGACAAGGCGAGGTTCCTCTTGACTATCTTGACCATGTGATTAAACGCTACGTCAACTGCACAATATTATCTGGTAAACAACAAATCTATTATGACATAAACTCTCTATGTGAAGAGGTTTTRTCGTAATCGGTTTATGAWAAAAGGCAAAAAAGCAAACAAWMAAAAATKYAGCTTGACTAGCTTCATAAAGATAAACTTTTCCTCTYCATCTGTTACGGACAAATCCCATGCAAACTGACCGCCRCTGCAAGCAAAACCTGTCAATTTTCTGAAAGGTGTTGTACGCTCGACAAATGTTTCAGGAAATATTTAAAAAGTTAATGTTAATAATAGAAATCGTCTTATTTGAATCTTTTTTATTAYTTTTTGCTTTTCGTATATATACAAAATTCTATCACAAAGTCACATTAGCGAACCTATTCCTCTAATACAAAAGTATTACGATTTAATATCATTCCATTAAATCTTGAAACGATGCTGATGTTCATCTCAGTTTTGCCCAGTCCAGATCTGCAGCACGTCCTGTCATAACTAAATTGTCAAAGAGTTCATCACGTCCCAGTAATGCTCCAAAAATATACGGCTGGAAAAGAAAGAATACTGATTTGCTTCAGCATTATAAGGTAGAGCGATAAAACAAAAAGCAAACAAGAGTCGACAAGCAAAGCCAACAATAACGAGAACAATAATTACAAAGACAAAAAAACGAGCATGAAAGAAGAAAAAAGACGATTTTTTAGAATGAATGCAAGMGTACCTTGTCTGATCCTTTCACCTCAACTTCGATAGCCATTCCAGTGCCTGGCATTATTCCTATTGGCTTGCACTGAACAAAGAAAAAAAAATTGCCAAGTTATTCATAATCCTYATAAAACTCATCAATAATTAATGTTATTAGTCWTTTTTTGCCAGCTAATTGACAAAGTTGTCAGTATTGAGACATCCCAACACTACTAACAAATGATCAAATACGGCATTTGACTTATACACCGAATTTTTGGAATTTGGGAATTTAATTCCCAATCCCCTCTCGGTCACTGTATATTAATGCCAATTCTCGTGTCCAGATCGCCTCTGTCGCCCCCATCATATCCAAAGAGGCCCGGWCACAAGATTKCTGGATAACCCTTAATTCACTTAATTACTGAATTGAAAAATAATGTATGCATTGCATTCGGCACATGTGARGTACGGCGTATAAATCWACTGCCGCACCATTGCCRTATCTTCGACTGTTTAYGTCGCAGATTCGACTGAAGTCGTTAATCCAATACTGYCGAATTTAATTGATTTATACGCCRCAAATCACATGCATATAATTCGTAAATTGCACTCGGCACATGTGAAGTTCGGCGTATAGCGCTGGCCTAAGAATGAATTTATTACATGTAACGCGTCAGATGTTATCATTATCATTAATTGACTTACTTTAGATACATGGACAATATTTGAAAGCTTGATGGCAAAATTCTTGGATGAACCAGTTTTACTTCTTTCAAAACACAAGAAACTACAAAGTAAAAAATAATGATATAAGCAAGAAACKTATGTAAGTTAAAATCATTTTGAGCTATAAACATTGAATTTAACACAGTACTATCATGTACTATGCATTCCTGCACACAGTACACATTACAATGCCGGATTTTTTATTTTTATTTTTAAAGATAAGGAAATTAAAAAATAAAATATTCACAGTCACTTTTATTTTATCTGTTACTTAAAAGTCCTGAAAAAAAGTACTGAAAAAAAAAACCACTAAAAATCACTAAACTAAAATYACTGCGTGCTGAATGCACAGATTGCATAACAGCCCCAAAAGATATGCAATTATTATAGCGTAAAAATGTCAATATTCTTAAATTAAAGGTTTATTCAAAACAAAACTGTCACTGCTCCTGCATGTCATTCAAATTAGCTGACTAAGACTCGAATATAACCAGCTATTAAGGCGTTTTGCAAATACCTACTTTTGAGTCAAGAATAATCGACCATTTTTCATGTTTGTCAGTGGTTTATCTTTGTTCATCAGTGTACATCGGCGACCTTCTTCCCAAGCTAAAATCAGGCAAGGGATTAGTAAGATGTACACAGTGTATTAAGAAGGGGCAATAGAGACAGTGGTGACTGGGCCTGATCAACCCAATTACCAAAGTGATATTCCAARAGAAAGACCCTAAATTCATAAAAATTAACTTCCAAGAAACCAGCCTAACCCTGTTTACATACTTGGCAATGGAGTTTCTGTTAATGGTATCTTTAATCTATCACAGATATTTGCCCAGTGTTGTGATCCACCTTGCGTGGACGTTATATTTTGATTGGATGTCATGGAACACGATGCTGCTTCAGTTGTTTTAGTACCCACAGTATGATTGACTGCATTATCAGCGTCAATGATATCCTTAGCGGTTAAGTCAGCGTCGGTCGGAAGTTCACTCCAAATGCGTGCAACCCCATCATAACGCTGCTTTACCTAGTGAGTCACAGGAAAAAAACAGCACTCAAATAACTAAACAAAAACATAGAACGAGACGCATTTTAGAGCATCTGGTCAGGGTAATAAGTCAATAGAGGTAGCCCATCCTTACCACTTAGATGTTATAACCCAATTACCTTAGGAAATTTGGCGTAGAGTGGTCCAGTTATAAACAACTTGATACCAAATCCTAAAGCTACAGAAAAATTACGCAATTAAAGAMARAAAACATGGTTATCTTTAGTGGAATAATAATGGAATGAAAATCGTAAAACAAGGGTTTTTCAGGTAAATCATAATCCGTACTTTAATTTTCAATAAAAAACTTCACGCAGCTAGTTTCTCACTGATCACTGGCAGGAAAAAAACAACTTTCAGTGCAAGAGATGGATAAATAAGTTACAAAATACACTTTATTACAATTGGCCTGTCCGGATACAGCAGGAAAGACAGCAATGACAAACTACGACTTACCCATGAACATAAAGAGAGATGGACCACTTAGAACAATTGAAGCAGCAAATAAAATACAYAAATTGGTAAACAAAGYTCTTGTTGCTGGGTGCTGCCACGTCAAAAGACTGTTGAGGCAAAATAACAAAGAAGATTATTATAGCCATGACAGTGCTATTACTGTTTTCCTTCACATACAACGTGTGGTATGCTAAACGACCACGAGGAATGCTGGACATCTCATTCATTGCAGATGTACATAAAATATAGTATTTCAAAGAAGGTTGTCGGATTAAATGGCGATTGCACGACCGAAAGTAGCCATGGGTTTTTCTAGTTGAAAGGCAATAACAACTGATTTGTAATGTAAGGTGGTCTGTGGTAAACATTGGCTCCTTTTAGTCGCCATTTCTATGTAAGGTGAATCCAATAAGTGAGATTTTGTTTATCAAAACAGTGTAACCATAGTCCCTTTCGACCGTGCAATCTCTCTTCGACAATCGCCGTTCGCCGTTCTCCTCGACAACGTTTTTTGAAATAGCTGTATATTAGAAATTATGGGATATCATAGGTGATATTTTTTTCAATACAATGAACAATGTTCACTAGTTGTTCGGTTGTTCGGAGTTCTTTCGGGTTCGGAGATGGAGTGTTGGCGAAAGCAGATCTGTGAAGTTYGAACTGTTCAATCGGCAGAAAAAAACAACGAATATATATAAAACGGTGGTTAGCAATAAGGCGTTGGCGTTCCCATATTTTTATGGGAACGAATACTAAGTATAGAAGTCTTCACATACTTTTTAATCTTCTCCAGAGAATCAGCCATTTTCCCCAGMATATTCTACGGATAGATTATAACATTAGCCTAAGATTAGTCAGTGATCTGTGATAAGAAAAGAATTAGACTGGAGCTCTGTAAATTAATTCAAAATACGCAAACCATCTGTTCTTGATCCATATTAGTCATACCTGAACTTTTCTAGCAACTTGTAAAACTAGTTGAAATTTGTCTGACCAGCTTTTCTCTTCGGAAGGAGACTGTCAAATGATTAGAATAGGATGTTTATTGACATACAGTAAATTGTCGTGTTACTCTTTCCGTGGGAATAGAGTTAAAAATGCAGATTTCGCTGAGAGCTAATTGACCTCTGAAGCTTTTACGTCACACACCATATTTGCAATGCACTGTAGGATATATTTGGGACATAAGAAACTGATCCCACAATGCATTACAAACCAAGTAGGTGACGTGAAAGTCTATTGAACATTCTCTTCTTATTGAACTTGAGATCAATGATCAAATACATCATTACAACAATGACATAGACGCCATGAACAAACAATAAATGTACTAAGTACTATCTTTCTAGTATAAAAGGTGAGAATCACAAAACTGTAATCGCCGAAAATTATTAAAATTATTTATTTTAGTCTCCTTATAATACCACACTGCAGAAATGTATGTATTCATTCATGAAGAACGTCCTTTTCCGGGTTGTTCAAACCTCGACTAATGCTAATCCTAGGTTGACTTTTGAAACACCTATTGTGTAATCTTGTATAAACGCTAATCGGGCTTTGAACAGCCCTGCCCCTATTGTTTAYTGTGATTCCTAAGTAAGGTGAGCTACATTAAGAACTGAGCACATCGAAAAAAGCGAAAAAATGCSATCATTAAGATCACGAGTAGTTAAAATTTAGTTATGCTATCGACCAGTCGAGTGCATATAGTAAGAACGATGTATGTGCGACTGCATTCAGGCTGCATACGAAAACACATTTATGCCTAACCTCATCTTTGTCTTTACTTGCGAATCCTAGTTGTGCTGCAATTCCCCTATGTATTGAAAAACAATTACATATACAGCCTTTTGCACAAATTATGAGACATTTTTATATATATAAATATACCTAACCAAATATCAAAAACACCCCAGAAATTATGGTATATCTCTATTATATTTTGTCATGATGATTCGTCATGGTGATTCGTCAGCCTTTCCTGTAATGTGATGCGAATTCAATAAGTCAAGAAACAAAAAAATAAAGTTCATGTACCTTGCATGAAGATAATTCATAAACAGYTTCCATATCATTAGCAACAACAGGAAAGAGAACAAATATCCATAGAGAGCAGCATACATGTACATCTACAATAGAATCACAATATGATCACTGGGCAGCCCATAATACTTTGCATATCAACTGTTCTAATAATTACAGCTTTTGAAACGCTGAACACTGAATACCTACGTATACTGTATAGTATATATTACAAGGCCRAAATGCATTGTCGGTATCTCTATCGCCGTTCAAGGTAGTTTTCGAGGTTTCAGCATGACAGCTCCGCACAGTCAAGAACTTCAATGGGAAAGGAATAGACCAATCCCGCATTCGCTTGGATGAACACGAAACAATGGTTTCATTCCGAGGCTGGAGTTTTATCTTTTGTCGAAGACTCCARCCTCAAAATGAAGCCATTGTTCCGTGTTCATCCAAGCGAATTCGGGATTGGTCTATTAAGTTTAGAATTGCCATTTTGCAACACAGTTAATTAATGATAAGTTCAATTGTAGCAATGCATTGCAGTCTTGGAGTGCACTATGCAGTATGCAGTATTCGGTATTCAACGTTTTCAGAAATAGCTGTAGATTGTGTTGCTATGACAAAGTTCTTTAGGCGCGCATACCAACTGTCGCAGTTATAATAGGCTTGAGCAATACATATTGCTCTCTTAGGCGAGGGCACGAATAAAAGAGAAACTTCTCACCAAAAGCAAGAGTTTAATGTACACTAGCTGTATTTGTTATCATACCACTAAACGCGAACATATCAGACCTACCGCACTTTTATATGACAAAAAATAAGATTTACAAATGTTTTACCGTGCAGGTTGCCCTTTTTACTCCTCCAAAAATCGAAATGGGAATTAAGACATAGAAACTTACTATAAATGCAATGAGTGAAGCTGCTGGGTTTGACCAACTACCAATCTTSGTTGCTGACCTGATGAACGATGTGACTGGTTTGACTCCATTACCTTAAAACAAAATACAACAATGACGCTTCTTTTGCAAATTGAATAACGCTCATAAACAGAATTAAATTTCCAAATCTATAATTTCATTCGAACTGAGGGAGGGAGGTGGGGCAGGGAAATACAAAACGGAGAAAATAATGTCCATTTCAAAATATCCGGACAGATGTTAACGATTCTTTCTATTTACTACTGGTTACTTACTAAATCGATTGATGTTCTCCTTTAGACTTGAAAAAAAGAAAAAAAATATTACCAAACTTTGAAGCAAAAGCTTTGTTGCACATGTATTTTGCCGTTTTTGACGTACTTGTCCAACACTCTGACAAACACAAGCATAGCATTGTATTGCATTGYACTGTATTGCATCCATGCGTTCTTAAAAGTCTTGAAGACTTTTGCTATGTGGATATAATACAATACAATGCATAAATTTGTCGGAGTATTGGGCAACCCTAGTTTTTGAGAGCTTTCTTTAAAACATCCCAACGTATAAACCGATTATTATGGATTTGTGATATAGATTTTGTTCATATGGCCAAATATGATGTAAGTTGTTTTTATTAAATTTAGCTCACGATGTATTACTACTTAGCGGTTCCAGAAATGTCTATGGATGCTGCCGTATGTGTGTATTTCTCGGTAAAACAGACTTTTGACAATCAAAGCGCTTCAAAGGAATATTATCAATGAGACATTGGATACGTGTAAAAGGGCCTATTCACACTATCGAAAACTTATCCATTGTACATGTAGACAAAGCTTTCCTCGGTGGACAGGGCTTAACGTCTCGTGATTATACGAGACGGGATTAGACGGGCCAACCCAGCTGAATTGATTAAGTTTATCCACGAAGGATTGGCGCAAAAATTTGAATATCTGCAAAATGGCGCCTAATCATTTGAATTTATCCTTAGCTTTACATTTAGAGCTTTACAAGTGTTATCAACACGTTTTACTATCTTTGCCGTCATTTTGAAGTCTAACCGCTCATGTGAGCTGGAGGCAATATCGCAATATGGCAGAATCACTTCTGGTCAGGCCAGCCCTTTAATAATAGCAATCATACGATTCGGGAAATGTTCAACTCGGTTTGCCGAGAACCCGGGCTGGCTCGCTTTACACCGGGGGAGTTTGTGTTTGAAGGCAAACCTAAAGAAAAATTACATTCTCTATCAGTAGATCTGCTTACGTTTTCACGGCAAGCGGATCTCCAATATCTTCCCCAATGCCATCTTCAGTWGTTGACTCTGATTCTTCATTAACAAAATCCCACAATCTGTCGACGATCTGTAAATATAGAAACAAAAAGGTTTTACCATTTTTTTATTGAATTGAATTATGTGGCATGAGCTAAAGTAGTATAAGGTAGAKTCAAAGATCGAGTTACCGTTGATTTAGAACAACATGAGCGGTCGTATTGTATGGGAATTACAATCATGGAAACTAATGTTTTAAACAACTTATGAAACGTCTATACTAATTAACATGACCCAAGGTAACTGCTGAGTTTAGTCGCTATTAAGCATGCGCAATTTACAGCAACAGAGAACATTTTAAATAATTATTTATCCCACATGGAAATCAAGCCATCATAAGGAGTGCTGCCATCTGTTTCTTGCTTTAATGATACGATATTAATACTGAGACCTTTGCTAGTGTTCGGTTGTCTCAATTATGG